TTCGCAGCAGAGGTACTACGTTCTCTTACACCATCTCCATTTTACTTCTCCACTACACTCGTTCCATCATAGTAACCCTTGAGACTCTCAGAAATTACCGCTGAGGTTTATGGTTACACAACATCTGTGTTTATGATCTTAGTCTCGTGTCACTACGAGCTGCGTGAAACCCAAAATTCAACACCTAATGAATTGACGGTGAACAACTAAGTTGCTCAAGTTTTCACTAAAGGATTGATGAATGTAACCTACTAAAATCTCAAATTCTATTTTGTGTGATTCCTATGAAATTGTTATACACCATAACATTTCTTCCCTTGGGATCCAGTTTTTAATTTTCTTCTGAGATTTTATATTTTTCCAAGCCACCCTTATTTAGTCTAATTAAAAGAAGCCTTTCAACATTTCTTAATAAATGTTTGATCGTAATTTAACGGGAATCCACACTTAAACCTTAAGGTCTCTCTTGTCCTGTGGCATTAAATGCGTGTGTGGAAATGGTAACGGCTTTTCTCTCTGAAACAGCGCTAGTTGGGCGGCGTGATCCTAGGAACCTGACACTCTCTCTCCTACGTGATCATCGCACGCCTCAACTGTCATCCATCTGTCACTCAAGAACCCGGTTCATATTTCCATACGAGATTTGAAACGATTTTTCTCTCTCCTCTCACCCACTATAAAAAGCCCTCTACACCACCTTTTACCTCTTTACTGCCTCCAAAATTTCCAAAGAGCAAATACTCCCAAACAGTTTCCTGTTCATCCTCTTCTTCATACCTGCATAAATGGCTGACTCATCTTCCGTTCATGCTACCTCACAAATCCTTCCCATCCGCCCACAACAATGTCTGGTCATTGATCTTAACCCACTGGCGTACGACTCCTATATGTCGCCGGTCATAGAATGTTTGAAGTATTCCCAACTTGCTCCGGCTCTCTCAAGAATTGAATCTGTGTCAATGGTGGCCCTATCGCAGGTTTACGCGACTGCCTACTACGACAAGGCCATCGACCGGGTGTTTTTCGAGCTTGCAGAACACAAGACCTCAGTCTCTCGCCAACGCTTCTGCACCTTGCTAGGGTTTGCTGTTGACCCTTCAAGAGTTCATCCGGAGTCGATTCAGATTGGTCATCTGTATAACATGTTTTACAACATGGGATACACAGAGGTTCTCACCTCTGTCGCTAAGTTTAAAAAGTCTTGCCTGCCGCCACAGTGGAATGGCCTATTTACAGTCCTTTTCAAGGGCTTGTCGGAAAGGAGCTCAGGATCCGACGGTGCAAGTCGTCTCTTCCTGTCAATAATGTACGGGGTTTACAACGGGATTAACCTGGACTATGGGTTTGTCCTATGGCAGCAGCTTATCCAGAGCCTCTCCTCATCATCCCGACACTCTGAGGTGTCGTTGGCCCGGTTCTGGATCTTGATTACACGATGGGCCATGGATAAATTTGATGTTCCTACTGCTGACGGTGCATCGATGTCTTCTGTCGGTACGTTCCATACCAAGAAGATCATCGTCTCAGATGCATCGAAATTTTCCTTCATTGGCTCCATCCCGGAGTCAATGTATGGCGACGTGCCATCTGACAGCAGGTTAATTCGGAAGATCAAGGAGCTTAGGCCATCTGGTCCAAGGGAACTGACACCGGATATGCTTAGGTCGATTCACGATGCAAACAAACGGTGAGCAGGGGCAAAAAGGCAGAAAAAGGGAAGCATGCGTCCAAAGCTCCAAAGGGACCTTCTCCCAAAAAGAGGAAACAACCGAAGGCTGCACAATCCCCACAGCCGAAGAGGAGGAAGACTCAACAGAAGCGAAAGCTTGTAATTCCCTCTTCTTCGAGTGACTCTGAGGGTGAGAGTTCGGGCTCTGACGGCTCTCAAGGAGACGAATCTCCTCAACGAGGCAACACACCACCTCGGTCCCCTACCCCAGAGATGGAACTTCACAATTCCCCAGTTCCTTCACCTCCACCAATCTTTACCACTGCAACCGAAACACCACCAGTAACCGACCTACCTCCCGTAACCGAACCACCACAAACCGAAACCCATACAACCGAAACTACCCATACTCAACCACCACCCAAAATTATACCAACACCCACTCAACCTGATCCTACCAAACCCACAACACCCCAACTTCACCACCCCTTCATCTCCTGAAAATGCCTCTGATGGCGAAAACCCTTACCTTGGTGGTGAACACATGATCTTTGATTCGGTCTACTATAGTCCGTTTCAAGTTCAAAGTGACGAGGAGGATGATGCTCCAGTGACAAGAAGCATCTCAAAGAGCTTAACGAGAAGGTTGACCTACTTCTCGCCTCCTCTTCCAACCAGCAGTCCTCTCTTTCTGAAGCTGCCCTTCAGAAAATTGTTGATGTCTTTTCCAGGGCTCAACATGATTCGGTGGCCTCAGCAACTGCTGCGATTGATGCCTCCACCAGAGCCTGTGAGGCTGCGACCGAAAAAGTCGATAAACTATTCTCCGACGCTTCTGTCCTGCTGAAGTCCTTGCAGGAAAGCGCCCATGCCACCAAGACATCTTTGGAACCAATTGTTCAGCAATTGGCCAACTTTGTCTCAACGGAGTTGACTTCGTTCGCTACTCTTCGCCAAAACCTAAGCGACGACAACTCGGCACTTCGTGCCTCCATCGATGCTCGCCTCGCTAAGCTACAAGAGGATCTTGCAGCTGAGCATTCTTTGATGGACGTTCTGGCGGGCAAATCAACCGCCCTCGAAGTCAAGAGCACACAACTCTCCAACTCCCAACAACAACTGGACGATCTTCGATCCGAAAGGGAGGTGATCAAAACGTGTGTTTCGGATGTCCACGCCGCATTATCCAACATCCTGGAAGCACACGATCCCATTCTAAACTTTTCGGTGAGGCGTACCCTCGCTGAAAAACTCTCTCCGGCCATCGATCTTCTCAACAAAATCGAAGGACTACCGAGTTTCGTGTCCATTCCGAAACAAGGGGGAGATGAGAAGACTGGATCGAAACCACCTCCTTCCTCTAAAGCTACTCACACGACCGAATCTCCTCCGGCTGGTCAAGCTTTGGGTTCGGGTGTGAAGAACAAAGGCAAAAACTTAGCTGAGGAAGAAGATGAAGAAGGAGACAAGGAGACCATTGCTGACATATTAAAAAGAAAGAACAGTCGCAAGGTTGACGATGATGCCAGTCGTGTGGCGCGAGAGGCTGAAGAAGCCGAACGCAAACAAAAGGAAGCCCACGATCTCCTTGAAAGCCGGAAGACTCTCTTCCCTGCCTGGACCAGGGAGCGTTTGATTAAAGAGGC